CCCCCCCCTTAGCCCCCATCTCTCCCTCTCCTACTCCTGGCCTTGAGCATGCCCATCCCTCCGTCTGCAACATCGTCTACTCGCTTGTTTCAAGATTAACTCCTTTCTTCGGAGCTTTGCTGGAGTCTCCTCCTTTCCGTGAGGTTTTTCCCGAACTATACTGAGGCCTGAGAGGACGAATTTAATTGTTCTTAGCTTTGGCCAGAAAACTATTGGCCACAGGTATGCTAAAGATGGAAGTGCTTTAGTAACTGACAGTAGGTATAGGTACAATATGAACATGATTTATGTCTGAATTGTAGTTGTTTTTATATTAAAAACATTAAATGTCATTATCATTACTAGCCTATATTTTTGAAGCATTATTTCACTTCTCTCCTAGATTATATACTAGGGGTTGTATTTTACAATGTTATGCTTTTCCACATCCCCTTTACAATGCTTGATCTAGTGCTATGCATGTAGCAGTTTCAACAAACACTTATAATAAATGGAAAATGCAGGATGTCAGAGAGTACTCTGTAGTTTGTTGATCCAGCCTATTGCTTCTAGATGATTCATTTAAGCTAATCTGGAGAGGAAGCAGGAGACACTGTAGCTTTTTCAAGACACCAAGGAAAGATTTTCAGTGAGGAAGACCCCATTTCTATCACAGAGTTACTCCTTTTATTTAACATTATATCACCACAATTCAACACAATTTTTCCATCTTGGTAAAGATGAATAATCAATATCAATATTTTTAAATGGTTATGATAATTTCCATAGACAATTATTCAACATAAGCAGCATTATAATACCGAAGACAACAAATTGAAATTTTGCCTTATTCTTGAAGCAAAATATTTATATTCCCCTCAACCTTAATCTGTGAAAATAAAATAGTAACTAAAACAGGAGTGAGGAGTAACTGATGAATAGCCTACAAACTCAGCAACTAGAAAGCTATTTAATCATTATATATTAACAATTCTGCATAATAATCATAAATTACTTACCTCCAGCTTATTGTTGGTCTGTGGGAAGAGTAAATGTTTACTTTTGACTTGAAGTTGGATTCTTGAATTTGTTTGAGGGCCTCTTCTAACGGAGGCACCGGCTTTTGAAAAACTAGGGAAAATAAAGGAAGATCAAGTAGTGCAGTGCCACTCCCCTCCAGGAGCTCTTCATACACAATTTAATTGGTCAGTGACAAAATTCTGCTTTAGAACTTTGGCAAAAAGAAAATATCTTAAAGACTAGCCTAAATAATTTACATTTAGACATCTAATCCCCAAAGAGAAATTGTTACCTCAAAATCCTCAACACCAATTTTAAGAATATTTTTCTGGAAAAAAAGAAACTTTGAGAAATGTCCATACTCTTTGTTCTGGCATGAAAAACTCATTATGTTTTATCTCAGAGCTCCATAAATTTCTGACAAAGTTTATAAATACTTTTATGAAGAAAAGAGAAGGCTATGAAAGCCCCAACAAACATGTACTGAGTGAGCACTTACTATTACAGGCATTATTTTTAAGCACTTTGTGTTTTCTAATTTAATACTCACTGTGACCTATGACACAGATGCTATTTGAATCTCCATTTTGCAAATGAGGAAACTGAGGCATATAGAAGGTAAGTGACTTGTTCAAAGTCATACATTATATAGACATTCATCCACATACTACTTTGCACCTGTAATTTGCCTTCTCATTTGGGTTGAAACACAGCTGTCTTTTAAGGACATTGTTTCTCTTGAAGCCCTCCTAAGTGGAGATATGATTTTCCTCCGATTACATACTACCTATAATTCAAGGTCTGATGCCTCCAAACTGTCTTTCCTCCTTTCTCCTTTGAAAAACCCACATCATCAAATTTCCCCTATTACAATGTTAATTACCCTAAAATGTTTAAAACCAGCATATTATGATGTATGGGTTAATTTAAACTTGAACTTAGAGATGGTCCATTTCTCTACCCAGGGGGTAATAGCATAATATACTAGCGACCAATACACAATTATGGGATGGTTTGCTGGATATTCTAATCATAAAGGACCAATCCTCTTAAGGCAGATAATATCAAGCTATAGATTTTGACTGTTTTCTAATTAGCATACTCAATATCCAAATGGGTTTTTATTAGTGAAAATAATAGCCTGTTGAGTAGCCTGATAAATATTAAATATGAGCTTTTTTTGTTGAAATTAAAGGTATTCAAAACAAGTGGATTTGCCTAAACCTATTTTAATCACTCCCAACCCCTGCATAAACAAAGAATAAGAATCCAGGGAGGTCTATATTCTTTGCGTTTACAGATGGCACCTGAGGCTTGATTTCTACTCAGTCTGGTGTCCAGCCATTAATATAGGAACATTTCTGATGTCCAATGCCAGAAGGCACAGAGTTCTGTCTCTGGAATGTGGTTGTGTACGCCTGAGTAGAACTTTCATTTAAAATATAGTCAAAAAACCTAAAAGGACAGAGAACTGGGACCTTCTTGATCTTACTGAATGAGTTACATGAATTGTTTTATACCTGCTTTGCTAATGAATGTCTAGTCATGCTAGATTATAGTCTGAGATTTGCTTTTATTAACTTCCACCACTTGTCTATCAAAGAGAACTTAAAACTAACTTGGGCCAATTAACAACCACCATTACTACTTCTTGTTGCTGTTATCTCATGACCTCCCAGTAACTACTTCTCATTCACTGATGATAATTTAAGCCTACTTTTTTTTTGAGTACTTACTTTATTATTTCATTTAATCCACTAACTCTAATCCTTGTCATTCTTTTAATTTTCTCACTCTAACAACTTCTGACTTCACTGAAAGCCTCAATCTGTTGCCCTTCTTTGTAGTAAGGGGAAGGGTCAGCTTCCACGCATACATGGTGACCTTTAGTTTAATTCCTAATTGGAGAAAAAACTAAAGCGGTAGACCAACAGTTGTCTCACATAGCTTTGTTCTTGCTCTTCATTGATAGCACTGAATTTTCTTAAATTATTAATTTAATATTTTGTATAGGTAATATATTCATATTTAGAAATAAAAAATACGATACACATTTGGCAGTCTTACTCTCCTTGGTCATTCATATATTCTTTCACTGTTTCTTTATGAAATTACAAGCAAATATAAATATATATTGTAATTTTTCCCTTTTCTTACACAGAAGGCAAAATATTATGCATACTGATCTGGACCTTGATTTTACACTTAATATATATATATCCTGGAAATCAGAGATAGATCCAGGCTTTATGAAAGTATGTCATTTGTTTTTCTTAAAACTCTTTGACTTTTGTACCTAGACCCTTTGATAGCACCCTTCTTGGGGCAAATAATATTCATGAGTGGTGACTACTTCTCTGAGGCATTTGACACAAATGACCACATACTATTTCTTAAAACTAACTTCTCTTTTTGTCTTCTTATCATTATTTTCTTTGCCTTTGATTCCCATCTGCTTTCTTGATAACTGCTTCTCAAAATCCAGTTTTAGTTTTTCTTGCTCTACCTATAGCAAATACTAGTGTGCATAAATGTTTTATTTTAGGCTCCATCCTCAGTCTTTGGTCTATACTCTGTTCTGTTATTTAGCTTATCTTTCCTATGGCTTCATTTATCAGCTATGTATCTACTCATTAGTGACTCAAATATGCATTTCTATTCCATATCTTTTTCTTAAATTTCAGACCCATATTTTTAGTTGCTGATTTGATTTCTCCATTTGGATGAGTCATGCAAGGCTCAAATTCAATGTACTTAAAACTTAATGAATAATCTTTCACACCTCTAACCCAAACCTTTATTTGTAAACTTGATTAATATTATTATCTTTCACCAAAATAATTCATTCAAAAAGCATTTACTGAGTGCTAAAAATATGTGAGGCTTTGTACTAAGTACTAGTATTTATATTTCCTGAATATATTACCTCTTTATCATTACATCTAGTGAAGTGCTTTAATTTAGCAGCTTAGCACCTCTTGCCTCAAGTACTAAAATAATCTCCTACTACTCTATCTACTTAAGTGTCTCTACTTCAATCCATCTTCCATGTCATAACTATATTTATCATTCTAACAAATAAATATAATTATAGCAGAGACCCCTAGTTTCCTACCTAATATCAATTTTTCCTTTATTCTTTGACAACAGACTCTATATTGTTAGGGGCGGCAACATAACCACATAAAAATTTTTTTTCAGTCTCCCTTGCAGATGGAGATATAAACATAAAGGTAGCTCAGAGTTACAGACTTTTGTCCTTTACATTTCTTCTTTTTTCCTTGCCTATAATATTGACATGATGGCTGGAGCTCTAGCAACCATCATGTGACCATGAAGGTGAAGCTATAAGCCAGATACTAAGGATGGTTGAGCTGAGCGACAAAAGGAGTCCGGGTTACCAGTGACACTGCGTAATCATCAAAACAGCTTTTGACTGTCTACCTCAGGATTTCATATTATAATGGTTTGCATTCTAGTTAAAAAACTTTATGTTGACTGCACTTTGGAGAAAGATGAAATTCCTAGCATGGCATACAATGCTCTTTGAGAATTGGTTCCAATTTATTTTTCTAGCCTCAAATCCACTTTTCTTCTCTTTTCCCTCCATCCTATGCTTCAGATATACTAAAATACATAATTTATTTGTAAAAACTATTCCTTCTGTCTGGGAAGTTTTTTTTGTTTGTTTTTTGGGGTTTTTTTTTTTTTTTTTTTTTTTTTTTTTTTTTTTTTGCTGTGCAAAAGCTTTTTAGTTTGATG